TTTTGGCACAGCAGGCAGCTGGAGGGTGGTATTTTTCTGACAGGGAGATGTTCTTAAGTTTTGTAATTTATGGTGTCTTAAATATGGGATTTTGTTTACTGTTGCCCTAATTACACCTCTGATGTATTTTATTTAACTTAATGTTTTAATTTTGTGCTCATGCCCAGAGGTAGTTTCCCAAAGGGTACCATTAGAAAAAATCTTAGATAATGTTTTCTCCTTGCTGCAGCTTCCTGCAGCTTCCTGAAGGCGAGGAAATGGGTTTGGGGGCCACAGACTTTCTTATGGGCTTTTGTGAATTTTTTTTTTTTTCTTTTTGGTGAGGAAGGATGACTCTGAGCTAACGTCTGTTGCCAATCTTCCTCTTTTTGCTTAAGGAAGATTGGCCCTGAGCTAACATCTGTGACAGCCTTCCTCTATTTTGTATGTGGGACACTGCTACAGCATGGCTTGGTGAGCAGTGTTTATGTCCGCATGTGGGATCTGAACCTGCGAACGCGAGGCCACCGACATGGAGCACGTGAACTTAATCACTACGCCACTGGGCCAGGCCCCTCTTGTGAATATTTTGACTGTGTGCAATGTGAGCTCTTGTTCTCCTGTCTGCCAAGTATTATCCTAAACCATCTCTGTCCAATAGAAATATAATACAAGCCACATATGTAATTTTAAGTGTTCTACTAGTCACGTTCATAAAATAAAAAGAAGCAAGTGAAATTAAGTTGAATATTTATGTAACCCAGCATATCTACAATATTATCATTTCAACATGCAATCAATAGAAAAAATAATCAGATATTTTACATTCTTTTTTTCCTAATAAGCCTTTACATTTGCTGTGTATTTTATAGCACATCTCAGCTCAGACTGGGCACCCTTCAAGTACTCGAGAAGCATATATCGAGTGATAGTGTTGTGTACAGCAAAGTCCTGAACCTTTCAGAGGCTGACAGGGGACACAGGAAAGAGCCCTTAGAGTGGGTAGGAGACACACAGCCTCATGTTTTATGAGCTCTTAAGAAAGCCATACATAGGTTTCCTCCTCTTAGAGAAACCTGATATGTAAAAATTCATCTTGACGGGAAAGGTAAAGCAGGAAGTGATTATTCACGTTACAAAAGAATTAACCACAGGATCCTTTAAATAGCAAGCTCCCTTAGTGCACTGAAGAATCTGACTCAATTTGCAAAAATGTGACTGACACTTAGAATTTTAGTAGCCCTGAAATGAAAGCTGAGGAACAGTTGGCGTATCAAGGCTTTATTGAGCACCTACTATATGTCAGGGACACGCAGAGGGGGCCACAACAGAACTAAGGTGATCTATACCCAGAAGGCATTTAGAGCTGCCTGGGAGGACGAGACGCACGCGCAGCCACCGCAGCATGGAATTGCCCCAGTGCCAGGGCCCAGGGAGGCCTGGGGGTAGGGGAGCCAGGAAGGTGATGCAAGGCAGCCAGGGCCCAGCGGGGCCAGAAGGCAGGCAGGGTACATGGGATGACTCAAGTGTCTGGAAGTTTAAAGCAAGGGTAAATCAGGAAAGACCAGCTCAATAGGATATCGGGAAGACTTGAAAGTTATGCAGTCCCCCATCCCTAATCCCCAGCCTTACTCATAGCAGGCACCAATTAAGGTGTGTCCTTGGACCCAGTGGAGGAGGGGGATTGAAGTAAAACCAGGACGCCCTTCTCTCCGGTTTGCGACGACAGGCAGCAGCTGTTTATTTCCTAGCGACCGTTTTCTTGAAGGAGATTTCTTTGTCCTCTTCAAGCTTCACCTTGGTAAAGCCCACACAGAGAATAGAGAAAATGAGGCCAAAGCTGTGTTCTGGAAGTTAGTGGGGTTCTGAGGCCCTCAAAGTACACAGGGTTCAAGTTCAGTGTCAAGATGGACCCTTGACCAGATTCTTCCTTAGCAGCCTTCCTGTCCTCCCTCCCTCTCCCCTAGGTGGGCCCCATGTGCTGCTTCCCTGCACTTCCACCTACTGCAATTTTCTGTCCCTATCAGAAAAGCTATGAGCTTTCACCTCCAAGTGCTAAACTGGGATCAGCCTTGGGGAGCCTAGGTCAGGGTTCAAAGCCTTTTCTTTCCTTGAAAAAAATACTTGAGTGTTGTGGAGAGAACACTGGCCTGGGAGTCAGTTCTAGTCTCAGCTTTGCCCCCAACTTGCTGGGTGATCTTGGGCCAATAGCTTTCTCTCTCTGAGCCTCAGTTTTTGTTTTCTATTGAATTTGAGGGGCTTTGATGCAAAGGGCCAAACTAGCTCTGACATTATCGTCTGAATACATCAACTCCTCTCTAAGAATAAAATTAACTCCTTTTGGAAAAAAATTAATAAAAAGAAATTATGCCTATCTCCATATATATACTTATTTATAGATTATATGCATATATTACTGTACTAGTTGATTGAGAAAACCCAAAAGAAGCTTCTAAATATTTACCGTTAGGTTTAATGAACTTTTGGAAAACATAAAATTGAGTATTTTATGACTTTAGACGTTGTTGAAAAATGAAGACATGTCTTCAAGGTTCAGGTACGTAGTTTTAAATATCTTGTTAATCCCAATAGTTCCAGATTATAATTAGGTAATTTACACCTATATCAAGGGTGGAAGAAAGCCCATATTACAAATGATCTTGATAGTTTAGAGGTTTTGGGTCATCTCCCTGTAAGATCTGATTGGCTTGTCCTTGTGTTCACCTCCCAACGTGGCTGGCAAAGAAGTCCCACCAGGAGCTGACATGGCAGCTCTGCCGTTTTCTTGTTTACTAGGTCGTGTGTAGAGCATTGTCTATAACCCCTACTTTCTTTACACACATCTTTTCAAACCTCTCATCCATTTAGTAAAGGTCATTTTAGTTAAAAGGGTGTAATAGCCATAAAGAGACTTTACCAAGAGACCTCTCGGAACTGCAGGGCACCCCGTGGAGCTGAAAGCTGGTGCTGGCTCTGGCAGCCATCCTTGTCGCGGAGCATGCTGTCCCTCAGGCTGCTCCCTGCCCTTGGAGCACCCCTGACTGCCCGCCCTAGAGGCTGGATGAAGGAGCCAGTGTCATTCTGCAAATGAACTATTAGAGAAGTTGCATTTTTCTCTTCTTTTTAAGTTACAATAAAATGAATAGATGTTCTAATATTTTCTCATCATGTCAACTAATTCCTGAACTGAGCGCATCCACTTTGGATGGCACTGGCTCAGAAAATAAGCTTAACTGCTTTGCTGAGCTTCAGGTTCTTTAATTGGGAATATGGGCTTCATCGTGTTGTGAGGATTAAATGAGATAATGCAGGAAAAGTGGCACATAATCAGTGGTTACCATCATCTCAGTTCCCATAGCAAAGCCTCAATAAATCCATGTCTAGGTCATTTGAAGAAAGCTGTTTTTTAATTGACCTGATTCCAATTGTTATGATGGCTCGTTTCAACTACTGGGGAGCAGAGCATGATACAGGAAAATTGGAGTGTTTCTGCCTTTGTAACTTGTCAGGAACCAGGAGGAATCTGGAAGGGTTGCCTTGTTTATGTTCTTATGCTCCTCCTTTCTGTTGATAAGTGATGAGAATGGTTCACAACTCCACTTCATCCTGGCCAGGTGTATGACAGCAGAGTCAGCCAGCTAATTCTGGAATGAAAAAATGATCTGGGGAGGGCAATTCCACTTGGAGTTGCTTGTGAATTGTCTGGTTTAGCTGACATGAGTGGCCGGGATGAGCATGCTGGTCTGCATGGATAGGGTCTTCTGACCTGGAAGCACTTTGAGAGTTTATCCCTAATGGATATGCAAAGCCCATTTGACAGAGGGCCCATCCACCTACCAACCTTTTTCCTGGAAAACCTACCCCAATTTACTGAATTTTTAAAAGTCATTTGTGCTTTTTGGTCTCCTATTGAAGAAATCTTTGCCAAACCCAAGATCACTAAGATTTTCTCCTAACACTTTCTTATAAAAGTTTTACAGTTTTAGCCCTTAGATTTAGGTCTGTGATCCATTTTGAGTTCATTTTTGACTAGGCACTCCTTGTAGAGCTCATTTAACTTTTCCTCTCCCTCTATTTTACCATAATTTCTAAGTTGCTAATTCACCACTGTGGTTTCACCTAATTTTCACTAACCTTGTGTTTGTTCATTTGCTGTTCATTCATTCATTCATATTAAGCTGTAGATAAAAAAGGAAAATGACAGGAGATTGATTGAGGTGGGTGTGAGGTGAGGCCCAAAGTCTAGATAAATTGTGTAACCCTTCTATGGATAAGTTAACCAGTCTCTAGATTGGTTAGCTCTGCTAATTTGCGTTGGCACTTTGTCAACAAGAAGACCTGTCTGCCTCAGCCCTTGCCTCCACCCATTACCAAGTATAGAAAATCACCATAGACTGGGAGACCAATTTAAAATGGTGTTGCTGCTAGGAAGCCATCTGCTGAGAGGGCACTTGTGCCTGCAGATGTAAGCAGTCTGAGACATTGGTTTGGCCAGCAGGGCCTCTGTATCAGCTGTCTTTACATGTGTCATTGCTGAGAGATGGGTGTTATCTCGGTAGGGTGGCAATTACTGTTGCCCACATTTTGCACAACTGAGGTCCAGAGAGGTTAGCATCACACAGTTGGCCTTGGTGAGGGAGGGGGCACACCCAAGAGGCAAACTTGCGCCTGTCACCTGCTGTCTCTGCACTTGGGGAAATGATGCTGGGCTCCCTCTGTGGGCGGGAACAAACATCTTTGGCCGTCTGTTATGATGCGGTTTCCCCTTTGAAGCCCCTGATGGCCCTGAGACCCGTAGGCCACTCTGCCTGTGCCTGACTACGGACTAGCTCTTTGTGGTTTCTGTGCTACAGGCTTCAGGTTAACCAAAATTGGGTTGCTGTGTGTGGCCCAGTTATTTTAAGTATTGGTAGAGGGGAAATCCCTTTCACATGACTTTACTGACCTTCTAGGACTGCTGGGCCCCAGACTTCTCCAACATCTGATCTGAGGTGCTCTTTTTTTGTTTCTGTTCCTTCCAGTGGAGGCCATAGTGGAGTTTGACTACCAGGCCCAGCACGACGATGAGCTGACGATCAGCGTGGGTGAAATCATCACCAACATCAGGAAGGAGGATGGAGGTTGGTGGGAGGGCCAGATCAACGGCCGGAGAGGTTTGTTCCCTGACAACTTTGTAAGAGTGAGTACAAAGCGAAACCCTTTTCCTGTCTCCTGGGTGGGTTCTACTGACCAAAGCTGTGGGGACACTTCAGGAGAATTTCCTGGAACTCTCTTACAGGGATGAGTTGAGGGCTTCACCTCCTGGGTGCTGTCAGGAAAAACATGGATAGCTTAGCCCTTGATGTCTGGGTATACTTGTTTTGAAATCACTTTCTTAAGGCCCAGAGTGTTCTCTTTCCAAACTGTGTATCACTTAGAAAATGCTGGAAAAATATAAAGCTTGTTAAACTGTTTTATTTCTGTACTGGTTTATTTGCTTTGATAGTTTAAAAGAATTTTCCCCTTTTCCATTCCATTCAAAATGGAGGTGAAACTCATAAGTCAAGTAGTAATCGAACGAAATGCAGAATTCTAACTATGCTATGTTTTCCACCTTTGTTTTCATATTGCTCTTTCAATGGAGCAGTTATTATTTTCCTTTCCTCCTTTATGGCCATGAAGCATTGAATAAAATCTATTTTTTTTTCAGTAAAGTTTTAAAAATTATGCCCTTTAAGAAGTCATCTAGGGGTTAATTACAAAAATGCAGCTCATTCATGTTAAGAAATTACACACTGCACAGTTGTAAATAACAGTTGGAATTGGGTGAAAAGGGATCCGCTGGAGGCTGTTCCCTGGGGGGAATACCGAGTAGGTGTAGAAGTCCCTGTGCCGTAAACTTCCCATCCAACACTGGAGAAGACAGGATTGTTCTCAGGAGGAAGGGCTGTGTGCAGAAATCCCCAGGGCCCCTGCTGTAGTTTCGGTGGTACCAGACCATGCCTAAGACTGCGGCTGCGGAGGCAGGTGGTGTGTGAAATGCTGGGCCCAGAGAAGCAGGTGGCCTCCTCAAAGAGCCTCAAGGGCTACATGGGAGGGTTTGATGAAAAGTGGTTGTTGATGAAAAACGGTGATGTGCTCCAGGCTTCCAACCCCTGAGCCCTTGACCTGGATACCACCCCCCACCCCCCACCCCCCCGGCAAAACACACAGGAACCCAGTTTCATCTTTCTTCAGGATCTTGCCTCACAGCAATCCTGCTAACATTTCTTTAGTTCTTTTCCTTTTGGTTTGCAGAAAGCTGGGGAGGATTTTGTTGGTGACATGCTGATAAACCTGGCTTTCTGTAAATAGTTGTGGGAGTAGAGACTTTCTTTTCGTGGATTACAAGTTGACCCTAGCAACTCTCTCTCATTTTAAGAGTAGGAAAGCATTACATCTGGGCCATCGTGGATTGACTCTGGTGGGTAAACAGTGGTGAATTCTTTTGCCCTTCTAAACAAAAACCCCTATTTTGGGACAAGGACCGTCCTTGAAATTGAGTCAAATTCTGAGTCAGAAGGAGGGTTTTTCCAGATAAAAGGGGCAAAGGTTGGAGTGAAGACAAAGGAGGAAGGAATGGGTGAGGAAGACCGTGGGAAAGAGAGAAGAGGACCCCGGGAAGGAGTGAAGGACTGTGGGAAAGAGAGAAGGACTGTAGAAAAGAGAGAGGAGGACCCTGGGAAGGAAGGGAGGATTGTGGGAAAGAGAAGACTGTGGGAAAGAGAGAGGACAACCCTGGGAAGGAGAAGGGACTACAGTGTTGGCTCCAGTTTTGATGGTAGGCCCTATTTTGAAAGCCTTTAATGTGTCCTGTTGGCTTAGTACTCTCTCATTCCAAACCACAAATCCGTGGACTCAGAGAACTTCTGAGTTGGACTTTGCTCAGGGCTTGAGGCCGCTGTAAGCATTTGTGGAGGGTGGTGGGCACCAGGACAGGGAAGCACAGTGCAGGAAGAGCCCAGGCAGGCTTGCTCCAGCTCTGGGGAATGGAGCAGCTCCTCACTGTGAAATGGGGGGTGGTGTGGTCCCAGCAGCCTGCCAGGGCCCCCCTCCACCCTCTCCATCTGCTTGGCCTTGGGCTGGGCCAGTGTGGGCCACCACAGGGGCCTCCTCCCCCATGGCTCCCCTGGACTTTGACTCAAAAGGACTGCTGGCAGGAGATGGCAGGGAGCTAGGGAGACAAGCCAGGTCAGGGGTTATCCTGCTGGCTCCCTGCCCTGTGGTTGCCTCAGGCTGGCTGTGACCCTCGGCCAGACAGTGGCTGTTCCCATCAAGTCCCCTTCCTCCACATTCCTTTCCCCTCATCCCTGAGGGCCTGGGGCTCCCTTGTTTCTAACCCCAGGCTCCTGCCTCGGCGTTTCTCTGTACCTCACCCACTTTGTAAAGGTCTCTTTATTAATCTCGCCTCAGATTACCTAATTTGAGTGTGCCATCTGTTTCATTTTTTAAGCCCGACTACCTCATCGGGCCACTCTAAGGATTAAAGGAGACAGTGCCTGGAAATCACTTAGCACATGGCCGGCCACCTACTGAGTGTGCTGCTGTCTATGTTCCATCAAGAAAGGGACCCTCTCTCCTGGCCTGAGTGCCTCTGCTCTTGCCTAATTACTTGTCATCTCACCTTGCTTGAGCACTTCCAGTGAGGGGAAGCCATGCCCTTGGGAGCTGCTCATTCCACCCAGGCCAGAAAGGATGTGGCAGGAATGGCTAGGGCTGCACTACTGTGGCTGTCACATTTGGCAGGAAAAGAAACTTCTGTTCTTTCAGATGACTGAGTCTATTTTCAAGTCTTCACCCACTGGGAATGTTTTAGGCCTATTATTGAAAATCCAGTAGGTGGATGCAGTGGAGTTCAACAATAATGCAAACTTCTATAGAGAGTTCTAGAAGCTGAAAATATATCTTTAAGTAACAATAATCATATTGGCATAAGTTTGCAATTTTAGAAGTGGGTTTACATATGCCTTATTTAGCTTAAGAGTAATTGTCCCCAGATTGAGTTGGGTAATTTTGTGGCATCCCGTGGTTTATTTGTGTGCCTTTCTGCCAATCTTACCACTGTCAGAGAGCTTACCTTAAGCATTTTCTTGATTCATATGTCAGATCCTTAATCAGTGTCCCAGTTGAGCATGGTCCCCCAGGGTGTTAGAATGCAGTATCCACCCTCAACTCTGTATTGTCTCAATTTCTCAAAAGAAAATGCCAGCCATTCTGGCTACTCCGTTGTTAAGAAGAAGCTTGGGCTTCGCCAGCTCTTGGGCTGAGATTTATTGGTGCACATAAATGTGCCCAACTAGGCCTCATGGCCTTTTGGGTTTGTCCTTTTTTTCCTTTTATTTAGTTAGTTCTTATTTAATTTATTTACTGTACATATGGAAGAAGACTCTTTTAAAATCCCTTTTCCCTTTCTTCTCCCTACCTTTCTCCCCACTCACTTCTTTTAGAATGCATTTTTCTTTATCCTTCCTCTTTAAAAAATTTATTCATTTTTCAGGTGAAATTTACATAGAGTAAAATGCTGAAGTCATAATTGTACAGCTTGATATTTTTTTTACATAAATGTGCATCTCTGTAACCATCATCCAGATCAATCCTATTTCTATGCCTCCAGAAAGTTCTATCATGCCTTTTCCCAATCATTCCCTTTCCCATAGGTAATCTATCATCATAGATTAATTTTGCTTGGACTTGAATTTCATATAAATGGAATCATACAATATGTGCTCTTTTATTTATGGCTTATTTTGCACAATAGAATGTTGTCGCGTATATCAGTGCTTTGTTCTTGCTGTGTAGTATCCCACTTTGTGAATATACCGTCATTTGCTTATCCATTCTCCTCTAGGTGGACATTAGAGTTGTTTCCAGTCCGGGTATTTTATGAGTAAAGGCTCTGAACATTCTTGTGGAAGTCTTATGGACGTAGGCGCTCATTTCTCTTGTAGATATACATGGAGGCGTGGAATTGCTGCTCTTGCTCACTTTCCACGTATCTGTTTTTCTCTGTTTAAAGCTGTGGGTTCTATGGTTGGGAGGGAGGTGTTGCACCTGTGCTGAGCCTCGTTCGTGCCACACTAGCGACTGAGCTCATCAGCCTGCATCTCATTGTCTTTGCATAGCTGCCCTATGGGTGTGAGAGCTGAGGAGTCCTGAAGCCCAAACTCAATCTCCCAGGGACCATTTGATGGTGGGACCCAAGAACTATCAACGACTCCTTCTCAAATTGTGAAAAACATACAAATAGAGAGCATGTGTCAAAGTTTTATTGAACTCATTTAATGAGGGAACTAGCAGAATAACAAAACTGATTCAGTGAGGATGTGAGAAACTGACTAGAATGCCAGCAGAAAGGGGAATGTTCAAAGAAGATTGCTAGATTCAGAAGGGGTTCATGTCTTAGAGGACAATAAAGTCTTAACCTCTGGGGTTATCATCTCTACCAGAAAAGAAAAAAGGAAAGTAGCATACCTTATCATTTTTCTACATGTTGTCCTGACTTTTATAGGGTTGTAAAATGTCCTAGTAAAATGTTAGTTAAATCAAGTTACCTTTCCAGAGAAATCAGATGACCCTCCTTGGGGGGCTTGTTAGAAAATGCATCAGCATGACATTAAAAGGTCACACGATCATCATTTGTTGCCTCGTTTCCAAGTTTGGGATATTTTTTCTGAACAGACCACAGTAGACCATAATATGACAGTACAATAATAGGAGATACTAGGATGAAATCCTCAAAGTCGTTTATTTTAAAAAGAACAGGGCTGCTTTCCTGGGACCTGAAACTGCCACATAAAGCAGAAAGACAGCCAGCTAAGAAAGGCAGGTGTGGGCTCTTTCATAGGCGCTCATTCTCCCCATGTTGGATTTAGTTACTGGTGTCTTCCTTTCAGAACCTTACCCTCAGACCCAGACAACAGTGGGCTTTATTTTAGTTCAGCAAAGGATTTATAAGTAGCCTTTTTCTGGGTCCTCCTGACATGTGTCCACAGATAGACATTTTTTTAATGGCCAGCCAAAGAGATTTTTAAAAGAAAAAGCCTTGAAACTATAGGTTGGGCTGCCACCCACAAGTCTGCCTGCCTTGGGAGGGGGTCCTTTGGTGAAGTGGAGTGGGACCCAGGCCCTCGACATCTTGTTACTCACAAATAGACGTGTAGA